GAAATCGTGCTGAATGTAATCCATTTTTATTATTTTGTAAAGACCACAAAGAAAATGTTAGAGAAAAAGGTAGTAGAGGAAAAGGAATGACTACACTATCTAATATGTGGAAAGAACTTCCTGATTCTGAAAAAGAAAAATATTTAGAAATTGCTAAACAAAATAAGTCTAAAGAAAGAAAATGCTTTAATGAAGATATTCAAGAACAAGATAATTTAACTGTTCCTTCAATTCAATCTATTCCTTCAGTTCATGAATACCAACAACTCACCAATTCTATTGATACAATGAATCCTGTTACACAAATAAATAATGTATCACCATTAACTTCATTGAATCAAATAAATGATACAATGAATATTCCTTTTGTTCCACCATCAATGAATAGTCCATTAATTCATGATATGTAAATCTATTTCTCATTTATTTAATAATAGACCTCTCATGATTAATTCGGTTATAATATTTGATTATTTTTCTACATTTTCTTTTATCTTTCTTTATATTAAAATTAATTCCTTAATAGAACTTTTTATGAAAAACTCACTTTTTTAATGTTTCGCCTTTGGTTATCATTTCCCTTTTTCTCTAAATGTATTACTTTATTATTTGTTCTCCTTTTTGTTACTGTTGTTATTCAAGTTGTCTCTTGGAAAGATAGGATGTATTTTGTCCCAAGTGATGAAATTACTCCACACCACATTTTGGTACAGAAAAGTTACAATTTTGTTCCTCCTTTTTCAAATCAAGAATTTAATATTGAAACTATTCATCGTTATAACGAATTTAACAATTTAAGAGGGTTGGGTAATTTTAGTGAAACAGATGAAAAAATAAAAATACATACAGAAAATGAAAATCTAGATGATGGTGATGATGAAAAGAAAGACAAAGATGAAATTCAACCTAGACAATTCGATCAGTTAAAACCTTCTATCTCAAAAAAATATAAAAAGTTGACCAAACCATCTATTAATTCTACTGATTCTATTAATTGGGAAATACCTGAAATTTGTAATGGCAGAATTGATGCTGTTTGGTTATGGGTAAATGGAAGTGACCCACAATGGTTACATCAGTACAAACAATATAATAATGGAATTAAACCAAGTTATTACAGAGATTATCAAACTCTATTGTATTCTATTAGAAGTGGTTATATGTATGCCCCCGGTATGTAAAAA